CCGATTAGTGATTCAATTGCCAGTCCTATACCACTGGTTAGAAGACCTTCCTCAACGCAGACGCTCTTGGTCTTACCGGTGCTTTAGCCATATCTGTTGTTTGCCTTTGCCTAACGTTGGTGTAAGCGTCACCGGTTTACTGCTATCGAATCCGCTCTTGGGAATATTTTAGGTAAGAAGGAAGCCAATGCTGATAGTTACAGAAATGAATAAGAAGACGTTGTTACTGAATACGCTGTGGGACGTCGAGGAAGAGCAGTGGGCAAATCCCGCGGAAGGTAATCATCATTTTATGCCTCCAAACAAGGGAAAGTCCATCGAGCCATTTCACTAAGGCTGAGACACTGAACTTATTCCGAGAACAAGGTTTTTGAGAAAAGCATGTTATACCCCATAGGAAAAGGGTGGTCCCTATATATGTAATAAGGAGAGGGTTTCATATCTGATGGCCTCTTTTTTCTCTTTCATCTAGGGCCATACATTTGTTCGATCAAGTAGTTGGTCAAGTCTTCCTTTGATTGGCACAGCAGGCTTTTGGTTTCTTTTTTCATTCTTGCCATTATTCTTGCCATTTACCCCCTTTCCGTGGTTGCACTGCACAGTAGGTGCCTTACTATTCTGGCCTGTAACTTGGCCATTCGAAGCATCTATTTCCGTATTTGGAGGGACTTGGGCATTCTGTCCAATCACTGGGTTACTCTGGCGATTCCTTTCTAAGTCAGATCTCTGGGGATTTCCAAAGAAACGAGGATTCTTAAGGACTTAGTGAAACAGTAAGATATTTGGTCCTTCACCCCACCCTGTTGCCTAAATGGGATCTGAAAGTTGTGAGTAAGCTGGACAAGAAGTTTCTCTCTATCCATTGAACCACTCACTTTAGCTGTGGAGCATTCCCTGACAAGACTAACACCCTAAACAAGACTTGAAGAACCGAATCTAGACTCGCACCCAACGAGAACTGTTCTATCATATGCTTAACATCTGCTCGCCCTTACTTGGAACAGGCAATTCTCGTTTGCCAATTGTGTGAGTTTCATATCTAAGGTATAGGATTATTCCCTAATTATACACCCGCGGGCTCACGTAAGCTAAAAACAGGAATTGATACTCAGTTAGCGCAACCTTACTATCAACGATCAAGTTTGAATTGAATATAGATCCTATTGAGCGCCTGGGATAGAGTAATCTAAAGTCAAGTCAAGTCACTTATTGCTGAGACATATTATATTATTCTATATTATATTATTCTAGATTATATGACTTATCAATGATATTATTCTATATTATATTATTCTATTATTGACTTATAAATCACAGGTAGAGGGCAACCTCTGAAACAATCACAGAACCTATTTCCTCTCCACGAGGTCAAGCGCCAAGAACGGAAGGAGACTTAGGACATTATTTCTCGCCAACACCAACACGAAAACATGAAACTCATTAACTAATCGCATAAGAAGGACATAAGAAAGGTTAAGGGCAAGGGCACGAAGGCTCTTACTTACTATTTGTTTAAGCTCCCCCACAGTCCAATAACTCTTATGGCAAATGACTGATATCAAACTATCCTACTGTCCACAACGAATGAATTGGATCCTCAAATGTATCTTGTTCGTTCTCGCTTGCATTGACTTTGCGCTTGCTTCTGCTGTTGCTGGTTTCATTGAATGCAACAAGTCTTCTCTCGGTGCGGTGGTGCAAGAGATATGGAATTCCATTCTCACTCCTGGTCACCTGACAGCCCCGAACTCCCTTAACATAACTATGACCTACCTTAGCCCTTTTGAGTATAGGACAGAAACATAGACCGGAGCCTTTCTTTAGGACATAAAAGGGAAAGTCTGTCTTTAGTTTCAGCCAGACCAGAGTATACACGAAAATGATAGATAGCACAAGAAAGGTAATGGACCCAAAAGCGGTTTGTTGAATGAGCCTATTGAGCCCACGAGCAAAGGACTTGTCACTCGCGGTTACTCGTTGAATCATCTAATCTACTATGCTTTTGAGCACATGTATATATGTTTGGAATATTACTTATTTCTATGCTAGAGGTTAACTAGGTTAATAATTCCACTCTTCAATTCCAACGGAAAGGACTGCTTTCGGTGCTAGTGAGTTTAGAGTCAACTCGGCTATTAGCTTTGAAGCGAGGTGTCAATCATAGGGAGAGATTCTTCTGTTGCTGTTCGATAATCAGCTAAATCAGGAGATTGATCAAAGAAGTCAGCGAAAATGGGTTCTTCAAGTAGAGTGAGCGGAGGAATCTGGGCCCCAACTAATAATGCGCGTGAGTTCCAGAAATACTTGTGCGTCGGCCGGGCCCTGTTCGAGGATCTTCTGTAGACTTTCCTTCCTTATTGTAGCGTTTCCTTCTGTTCGAGGTAAATGTATAAGATCATCTCCGTATATAGTAGGTAAGACCTCTGGCACACCTGTCTGTAGCAAGCTGGTTCGAGTACGGTTGGTTCATAAAGTGGAGTATATTAAGGTTGGATAAGAAGAAAGTATTGGCATAGCAGTGTCGGGTATCAAATCATAAAGTACTGTGAACGGTAGCTCTTTGCCAAGAGAATCATATATATAAGCCGAATGCCCGGAATCAGCATCAGCTGTTCGCAAGTCAGCATCAGTTAACTCTTCCATTCCTCTGAGCATCAGTTAACTCTTCCATTCCTCTGTTATAGGCGGGTTCTAATTCCTCCGTTATAGGCGGGTGAGGTTTAGAGAGATTCATTATGTGTTGCCCCCTTATATTAGAGTATTTGGAAGGAATTATAACTAGATTACAAAGAGATATATACTAGGCAAGAAAGATAGATTACAAAGAGATATATACTTGGCAAGAAAGAATCAAGGTATCAAGAATAAGCTGGATCGGAAGCAAGCAACGAAGCGGAGCGGTTCTTCAAGTCTTGTTCCAGAAGCCGAATCAATGAATAGTTGCATTTATGAATTGATGATTGTTCGTAGTCGTTTAGAGCGTTAGAGGAGTGCCAGGGGTAGGTGCCTGTGCCTCACTCAATTCCCGGACTGTCATAACCGCTTGCACACCTTTCTTTTTCCCACAATTCGACTTTGCTATGGGCTGCTTGCTTTTCATCTACAGCAGGATTGGCATCTACGAGCACTTTACCTAGATTCGAGGGGGCTGGTACATATAACCGGGGGGAGAGGCCATCAATCAGTGTAGCAGTAAGGTAAGTGAATAAGATCATCCGCCGTTCAAAAGGAAGCAGCAAGGAGTTTCTTGCACCGGGTCGGCCAGGCCCTTGGATAAGTAAGCTTTGTTAGCTATACCGCAAAGATCAAGATCACAGGAACAAAAACACTGCAACGATCACAGGAACCAGAAATGAAAGAGACTCTCCTAAAGCTAGAACCGCTTCGTGAACAGAACCACTTGCAACAGACTTTCTTTAGCCACCGCCCTCACTCCCTGATAGAATAGCCCTTTTTCTCGTTGTTTAAGCTTTGTTCCACTCTGATTATGGCTTAGACCTTAGAGTCCGTTTCTTTAGTTGCCGTTGTTAGACCTTAGAGTAGTTTCTTTTCAGTAGTCGCCGTTGTGCTTACGTTTCATGAGTTTCTGTCTTCATCGTCTTCAAGTGGAGTTATCTTCTCTTCAGTGCTCAAATCCATTCCAGCCTCATAGCAAGCAAGTTCAATGACAGTTTGACTTCGAGATGGAGATACTCAGCAATCTTCTAGTGTGGGTCGGACTTTTCTATATATGATATTAGTGATGCTATGATAGCTCAGCGAAAGAAAGATTCAATGAATTCTTAAGACTGTCTTGCGCTGCAAGAGTTAGGATCAAATCAGATATGTGATGCTCTTAAAGCAAAGCAATCTTCTGCGCTCTAATCTTTTCCTGTTTCTGTTTGACTTTAAGCTGAGTTATAAGTTTCAAGGAGAGGAGAGGTCGGGTGTAACGCAAAAGGGGAGCCAAGCATTCAAGTTCAAGCAGATTCAAAAGAAAGTGAAGCGGCGTCAGCCAAATCTCCATTATGGATGCATTTAGCAAGTTCGTTATTACGGGTAGTTCCTACAAAGGATCGTACTGATTAGATTCTATTTATATTATATTCCATAATCAGAGTTAACCCTATGTTAAACGACTCTTTGGGCCTGATTTACTGCTTGACGGAGTATACGAGTTGGGGCAATTACATACAATCTGATTCTTCTGGACAGTCTTATGCCTCTGCTCCAGCTTTAGCCTCTAATCCTTCTTCGAACTCTTCTTCCGGCGGGACAGTTACGTTTGTTGTGCTACCAACGTGAGCTTAAAGTAGTGAGTAAGCAGTAAGCGGGTAATCTTCCAGACTTCAATCTTCTACAGCACTGCAATCTGATCTTTTGCGCTCGACTCTAAATCCGTTTTGGGTTCTTCCGCTAACTGAGTTTCTGTGACATTCATATCAATTCTATCACATTCAAGTTCGATTAAGATTGTTGATTTATGTTTGACTCGAAGCAACAAGACTAAGTAGAGAGATAGGTGCTTCTTCAGTGGGCGATGCAGAGTTTGAATAGAACTGCTATATTACTCGAATATAACTTAACTAACTAATATAACAGTAAGTGCACAATCTGATAGAAAAAAGGAATTGAGTAACAAAACATACTTTTCTTCAGCGCGTTCCTAATAGTGGAATAGAGCATCTCAGCAATCTAAAGTGGAATAGAGCATCTCATCTCCTCAATCAACAGAACAAGTAACTCGGGGCGGGGTGCTAAAGGAAAGTTTCCTCAATTCCTATAAATTATATGCACTGCACACATATGTGAAATTTCCATAGAATTCTGCCTGCACGATATGAGTTTGCCGGAAGAAGAAACTGAACAAGCTGCGGAAGAAGGAAGCGTACCCGGAACAGTCAATCTGGCTTGCATAGGAAGAGTGTTGTAGTAGATCGAGCTAGGTTCTTATCCTTATCCTTATCGAGGTTCTTTACCGTATCCTGTTGTAGTAGATCGAGCTAGGTTCTTATCCTTATTCTTATCGAGGTTCTTATCCTTATAGTGCTTTGATTTCCCTTTACGTGGTGCCAGTTCCCGAAAACAGTACAGGACTTATTGAGTCAAGTAACACAGAAAAAGATTGAAGCGCTGAAGCAAAAGAAGCAGTTAAGGCCGACTACATGCTTAAGTGGGTTTTAGCTCCTAGCGTGGAAAGAGGTGATTATGCTTGTGTCTAAGCTAAGGCTTTTGTTTCCAATATCGTTTATAGCGTCGTTATGCTCCTTGTCATAGAGTTCTGTTCTTGTGTTGTCGTAGATATCAGCCTAATCTCTTTTTCATGCTAAGATTAAGACAAGGCCCGCTACTGGGTTAAGTGGAAAGCTAGTGTCTATACTAACTCGCCCTTTGTGCCTTACGTGGGTTTCCATTTCCATAGATGAAAGTTGAGACGATACCGCTTGCTTCTCTTAAGAAACTGACTTTCCACGAGCAATCAATATTGTAGGGGAGCTTTAGAGTAGGGGTCGTATACTCAATTGGGTGCTTGTGTTGCGATAAGTAAAGAAGAAGCTTCAGAACAGTATCAAGGTGAAGTTCAAGTGTTTGCTTACGGGAGGCAGGAATCTCGTATCTTGATCTCGTATATAGAAGAGAAGCCCAGCTTGTTCAGTGCGGTTTCAAGGAACAGTAGAAAGTGTAGTTTAGAGAACAAGTAGATCTCATCTCGCCCAAACGAAAAGTGCCTTACGCAGGTTGAACAACCAGACTTGAGAAAAAACTTGAGACGTGCGCAAATTCAAAAGGCTGTAGGAAGAGTTGGGCCTGCGAAAGAAACGGACTCTATAGGGGCAGAATCTCATTTAATGGAATCTAACTCGCATATCATCTAATCTAGAGTTGTAATTGAATCATTTCCCTATTAGTTCAAACAGTTAATTGAACTGACAACAAACATCTATAAGTAGTATAGTAGTACTTGTATAGTAGTAGCTTGGCCCCGATCCAAAGCCTATACCTGATCCCCCAGTTGAGAATCTTGTTTCTAATCTTGCTGATGATTGTGATCTATCAGTGGCTTTAAGAATGGAATGTTGTGCTCTCCTATTATCCTATGATATAAGTGCGTAACTGGACTGCTTCCTTCACATTGCTTCTTTACTTACTCTCCCTAAAAACACTGCTTACTCAACAAACTCACTTATTACTGCTGATGCAAAACTAAGATCATAGGCGCATCCCGAATTCTACTTTACTTCTAATGATCCTGGCACACATCTTGGTTAAGGCTATCTCTACTAGCTGGTCGATAGAACTTATAGTCTGTCTTTTGATACTGAAACCTATAGGCTGGCTAACGCGGCTTCTGTTGACGCACCCGCTCACTCAAGTAGGGGCGTGCTTCTATATGTTGTTTGTGTATATCTCTCCTCCACTTATGAATTGAATCCATCTTGCTTGCGTGTTGTTCCCACAGCTTTCAGAATTGAGTGCACATGGCTAACTTGCTAACGCTATAGGGCAAACTAGAACTAAGGCGTTTCGCATACTACAACGGCGAACTCAGGCAAAGCTCTTGCTTGTTTCAAATAATGAAAGTAGCACATGACATGATAGAAATTAATAACATGACAATAAGTATACTTTTACCGAGCTTCTTTATACCCCTTATTTAAGACTTGAGACTTTTACCGAGCTTCTTTATACCCCTTATTTAAGACCTTCCACTTCTTACGAGCTTCTTTCCACCTTACGAGCTTCTTTCCACCTTACGAGAGACTTTCTACCTTACAATACACTTTTCCACCTTACGAGCTTCTTTCTACCTTACAATACACTTTTCCACCTTACGAGAGACTTTCTATGTTACGAGAAACTTTCTACGTGACAAGATACTTTCCTCTTGCAACCATTAACAATAAGCCGGCCCAGTGTGAAGTCAACAACTAGCAAATGAATAAAATGAGGAAATTCGAGAGAAGAAGACAACTATGGAATTCTAGTAAAAACACTCCTTACTGCCCTAATTCGAATTCTCTAAAGAGAGCAAGCATCTCCTCTTTGTGAACTCGCTTAAGTCCGTCTGACCTGCTAAAGTCATAAGTGAGTCTGACTCTGACCTGCTAAAGTCATAAGTGAGTCTTACCCCCGCTCGCGAAAGTTCTGGTTCTGCCTTTACCTGCTAAAGTCATATGGAATTCTCCATCTTTCCCTAGTAGTGCTCAGCTTTCCCTAGTAGTGCTTGACTTGCTCATAACTCGCCGCACAACCAATTACTTAAGGTTTTTCGCTCGGCCAAGGCCTCAAACTAAACTGGGCCGCTGTAGTAATAGAATGAAACCACTTTCTTTATCTTAGCATCTCATTCTGTATCTTATCTTTATAGATGCTGATAAGGACACTGAGTCTGGGCCCGAGGGTGATGTGACTACTTGCATCAAGTTTCGTTCAGGCCGGTCAGTACCAGATCTCTCAATATAGGGAGCAAAAAACAGGCTTTGCTTACCTCTTTTCTTAAATGCAGAAAGAAGGGTCGAAGTTTAGACCGCTTACAGTAGTTCTATCCATAGAAAAGATCATGAAGGAGGCGATCAGAATGGTACCCTCATCCATTTACGATCCCGAGTTTCCAGACACATCACACAGTAGCTCGGGTCGAGGCTGCCACTCGGTGCTAAGACGGATCAAAGAAGAGTTTGGAACTTCTCGCGGGTTTTTGGAATTCGACATCAGGAAGTGTTTTCACACCATCGACCGACATAGAATCATCTCAATCTTAAAGGAGGAGATCGACGATCCCAAGTTCTTTTACTCCACTCAGAAACTCAAGTTAGCCGGACGACTCGTAGGAGGTGAGAAGGGCCCTTACTCTGTCCCACACAGTGTACAACTATCGGCCCTACTAGGCAACATCTACCTACACAAACTCGATCAGGAGATAGGTAGGATCCGACATAAGCACGAAATTCCTCTAGTTCAGAGAATAAGATCCGTTCTCTTAAGGACAGGTAAAAGTATGGTTGATGACAAAGAGCAGTCTGGAGAATCAGCAAGCTTCAAGGCTCCCCAAGACAATAGAGCCATCATTGTAGGTAGGGTAAAGAGCACCCAGCGCAAAGCAACCTTTCATTCCCTTGTTTCGTCGTGGCACACCCCAAACACAAGCACCCCGCGGCGAAGGAGAGACAATAAAACACCTTTCGTTTTCCCCCTTGGGCGTGCCGCCTTTCTTAACAAGCCCTCGAGCCTCCTTTGCGCCGCCTTCCTCCTAGAAGCCGCTGGGTTTCCCCCGAAGTCTGGTATGGAAGGCATCAATTATGCTATGAGAAGAAACCACCTTATTAAGTCTTGCAAAATCAGGGGCTTGCAGATAGAGCTGGGCGGGGAGTCAGTACTAGTTATCAGGTCAGATAGAGGCCTGGCCCGTAAGCTGGCCCCCTTGAAAACCCATGACTCATTAATAAGGATTTGTTACGCGCGATATGCCGACGACTTACTACTTGGAATCGTGGGTGCCATAGAGCTTATCATAGAAATTCAAAACCGTATTACCCACTTCCTACAATCCGGCCTTAACCTTTTGGTAGGCTCTGCAGGATCAACAACCATAGCAGCACGGAGTAAGGTAGAATTCCCTGGTACGGTTATTCGGGAAGTCCCTCCGAGTACTACTCCAAACCCATTATTGCGAGAGCTGGAGAAGCGTCTACGGGTGAAGCACCGTATCCATCTAACTGCTTTCAACCTACGCAGCGCGATCCATTCCAAGTTTAGGGATCTAGGTAATAGTCTCCCGATCAAAGAGCTTACGAAGGGGATGAGCTACAGAGGTCGTTTACAGGACGCGGTGAAACTAGCTCCGACTCATGGAACAGCTGGAGTAATAAGTCCCCAAGCTTGCATATTCTGGGGGACCTACATCTGGCAAGGATCAAGGGAGATCTCATTGTTGCATAGCTCAGGTCGCAGCAACGTGCCATCAGACGTTCAACAGTCCGTCCCCATTAACTGCTCGGTCACTGATGCCCGGAAGTGTTCATTGTATACTCCTTCGAGTCGGAAGGCAGCGGGGGAAATAGAGGGACACTGGGCGAGATCTTTCAGCAGCGAATTCCCCATACAGATAAGGGCGCCTATGAAAAAGATACTCCGAAGGCTTCGGGATCGAGGTATAATTAGCCAAAGAAGACCAAGGCCTATCCACATAGCCTCTTTTACGAACGTCAGCGACGGAGACATAGTCAATTGGTACGCTGGCTTCGCTATAAGTCTTCTTTCCTACTATAGATGCTGCGACAACCTTTACCAAGTGCGAACGATTGTCGACTACCAGATCCGCTGGTCTGCTATATTCACCCCAGCCCACAAACACAAATCTTCGGCACGGAATATAATCCAAAAGTACTCCAAAGACTCAAATATAGTGAATCCAGAAGGTGGTAAGACCCTAGCACAGTTCCCAAACAGCATAGAGCTTGGGAAGTCTATATAGTCTAGCCCGGCCCGGGTAAAGATCCTAACAACGACGTAAACTACATGTTTCAAAAGGAGTTGTCTTGATCTATTAGTTAGGTGAAGTTTCGCACAGTCGTTTACATGAGATTAGTTGAGTAGGCTTGCAATAGTTGTCTGCTATAAGGATAGCTAGGTAGGGCATTCGAAATGAAGGCCGACTTGGATTGTAGTTTGAGTCTTGTAGTCGACCCTCTCCATGCCTATTTTCTCTTTAGAATGTTCTTTGATTCCGGAATTCCTTTTTTGGTAGCTTACGCGCAATAAGAAGGTATCCTTCCCGGCCCGTAAGATCGCTTCGCTTCTGAAGATTCGCTTCTACCGCTTCAATCAAAACCTTGACATCAATCAATGGCTAAAGCTACCTTGACATCAATCAATGAATGAATGATTAATAACCTATATGGGTTCGAGGACCCGTTGGTCAAAGAAGAAAGGTAAGGTCCAGATTCCAGGACGGAGCCGTATGACGCGAGAGTCTCACGTACGGTTCCTTTGAGAAGGGTGTGAAACCACAACCTATCAGGCCCGACGAGCGGTCCACGGAGCTGCATCCCTACTCACCCGGTCCATGCACATTGCTCTTTCCAGGAGGTTGGCCGCCTATCCTAGATCTTCCAATTTCCAATAAGATCCCGGGCTCGATCTGGTTTAGTATAAAGGTGAATCTTTTTCTTTTCCTTTATATATGGGTCCGTGCAGCATTTCCACGATATCGTTATGATCAATTAATGGGACTTGGCCGGAAAGTTTTCTTGCCTCTATCATTAGCTCGGGTAGTCTCCGTTTCTGGTGTTTTAGTAACCTTTCGATGGCTTCCTTAATGTATGTGCCAGGAAGTTTCTTAAGAAGCAAGCGGGCTACTCCCCGAAGATGCCCCTACCTAGGTTTCATTTTGGAAGTTGGGGAGTAATTGCTCGTTCAGCGGTTATCAGTAACGTGGTCAGCTTAATGAATTTCTAGCTTAATGAATTTATAGACAATAATAGTGCTCGTGAAGCGGTTATCAGTAACGTGGTCAGCTTAATGAATTTATAGACAAGAATAGTGCTCTGGTAGACAAGAATAGTGCTCTGGTTTGTGCAATGTTGCTCGCTACACCCTTTCCTCTGGCGAACCTGCGCTGTATCTTACTGAATGCTAAACTTAGGTCGTGTACAACAAACCTGAACCGCACAAGCCTGGGCCTACCCACATCCCTAGAGGAGCCGTATGAGGCGGAAGCTCCACGTACGGTTTTGAAGCCGAGCCTTTCTAGCAATGGGGCTTAGGGACCGATATGATGATTGGTTTAGGTAGGGCGGCCGGCATACTATGGAAACCTGTAGGGATTAGTGCGTGAGACCGAGATCCACAAACTATAGCATGGGACTCACCCTTTACTTGGTAATGAAGAAGGCAAACATAGCATGTAACAAGAGCGAGGCGAGAGGCTCTTAGCACCTTACAGCCTTGCGAGTCGGGCTTTGGAGATGAGGCCTTTTGGCGAAGCCAAGTCTATTTCGGGCCACCAAACCCTGCAACTGATGAGAAGCACCAAGGAAGCGTGTACGTTGTAACACTCCCTGCCTTCAAAAGGTGCCTAGAGGACGGGCCAGATGCAGCAGAGCAACGACCCCGGAGCGGATTCCCCACCAGCAGGGAGACAGGAGACAGACGGCCATCTCGAGGCACATCACGACCTACAGGCAAGACCGGCGATACCCGGGAAGGCAATCTGATTGGGAGTCAGAGGATCCATAGTATCTGCTGTCTTCTAGACTTACATATTAATATGCAGAATTTAGTCAAGTGGTGGTAAGGGATCTATTTTCTGCTACGGATCAAAATAAGCGAAGCAGATTCAACTCGGCACAAACTAACGATACATCCAATACCTATGATATGTGCCTACCACCTAGAAGATAGAATATTTAAACAAACTAGAACAACCTAGAAGATATAATATTAAAACAAACTAGAATAAGAGCTAGTGTAAATCAAAAGGCTAATGAAAGAGAAGAGCTCAGCGAATCTGGCAGTACCTTATTCTATAGTGTGCCATGATGAAAGCGGCTCAATTCATCTGTCTCGAAAAACACGTATTGAGAGAAGACCGTAATTACCCTCTTAAGAAATAAAGCCCTCTTAAGAAATAAAGGCAATATAAGTCTCTCACTCAAGGTTTTGTTGATTAGGGTCGATGATAAATAATAGTATGGAACTAGTTTGAGCTGCAGCGAATACCGATCCTGTGCGCCGACGACCATATGAAGAGAGCGCTGAGGAAGAGGAAGCAAAATCAAGTAGCCATTGACGACGCCTCACCCCGTCTCCATCCAAGCCAGACCGACGCCCAATCTACCGAAGGGTAATAATGACTTCGCAGTGGAAGCACTACCCGAACACACAACATACAAATCAACAGACACGCCAGAAGTGACGTTCTTGTTTTACCCAAACTACCAGAAGAGTCGTTCTTGTTTACCCAAACTACCAGAAGAGTCGTTCTTGTTTTACCCGAACTCATAAAGGTCTGTTCCCAACCCAGCTGATCTCGACTTCCTCTGTATCCAATTGTGCTTCTAGTACAGTAGTTTCAGACAACGATGCAGCAAGCGATAAGTCTATAAATGGAGTCTCCTTGGGTGCCAGTGAAAGGAATCTAAGCTGCCCTTTACTATTAATTCCTTTTCATCTACAGTAGGCTCTGCGAATTCAGTATTCCTCCCCTGCCTGCGCAAGGCAAGACTAACGGGAGATTGGCATTGGCGCTCTCAGGATTCCATTCTGCAATTCACACTCTAACAGCTGACTCTCGGGTCGGGGCGCTAACGCTTATTTGAACAGAGTATTAGCCTACTTTTGGACCACTACTAAGAAAAGATGAAGTGAAATGAAAGCCTTATAGCACTTATTTGTATAGTCTTCTTCAGCACGTCGTGAAGCTGTAAAGCCTTATTTACACCTTACCCTGACTTGGATTCTGGGCCTGATGGAATTCCCATTCAGTTGTGTCGAACTCCTGAGAGACGACACACGGAAACTTTCTATTATCAGAAGTTGTAATAAAGCCGGAATCACCTACTGAAAGAGCTTCCTCCAAAAGGCGACCTGCAGCCAAATGATGTGAGGGGCTTTTAGTCGAATTCCATCTTTGTATATATGAAAAAGCCTCAGGAGAAAGTTCGGTAGGGAAGAGGTTTCTTTTGGCATGTCATTCATTGTATTTAAGAGGGATTAATTGAGCATCATTCCAGACAACATCTTTCTGGAGCAAACGTATATTTATACAACCCAAGAACGTGGAGATCCACCGGTCGGCTTGAAGGTGCGGGATATGGCTCTTGAAAGGGTAAGGAGAATATAACCCGGACATGAGTGAAAAGAAAAGAGAACGCTTGCTTGGGACTTTGAGGGAAAAGAAAAGAGCATTAAGTTGAAGGTCAGGGGAAGAGACAGATGCCCTGAAGTCATTGGGTGTATAACAAATCTTCCGCAATTAGGCAATAAGCTAAAGGCAATAAAGTTCTCCTTAGCAACTCGGGGTGCCGGTCTCGATTGGACTACCACTTTCAGGGGGTGCTCCGGAGTCTGCTAGTTTAGAATCTCTTGGGGGGCGAGCCTCTCTTCTCTACCTTTCTGACCATGCTATCATGGGTATAGGAGCCGAATGCAGTTCATTGTTTACATAGGTAAGTAGATTAGCCGAATTCAGTTAGCAGATAGTTACGATGGCAAGGAAGCACTAACGGGTGTTGCAATAAGTTCATCCGTATACTGATCCTGCCATCCGATCTGAAAGAAGCAGAACTCGAAAAGCTGTTAGGTAGATGACTCGCTTGTACACCATGTGCTCAATAAGATAATCAATTCGCCAGCCTGTCGCTACTAATGCTATCCAAAAAGATGGGGCCAAGCTTAGTTGTTAGTTGCTAGGCTGCTTCCCTTCCCCGAGTGAAATCAGTTATTGAAGTTCAATCAGTTATTGAAAAGGAAAGAAAGAAAGGAGAGGACGGGGCTAAAGGGAACCATCAAGGGATGCTGTCTAAGTCAACTGTGAGTCGGGTCAGGATCAATGCCAGGATTTGGGTGCCAAAGGTAAGGTAAACAGCAAGCGGTGAAGAGCCTAAGAGTTTCGATTGAGGTCGGGGTTAACACTTATCTTATTATAGGGTCGAGGTTCATTCACTCAAAGAGAAGAGACAGAGGTAGACTCAGTTAGCAGAGAGGAGCCAGCTGTAACCAGTGAGCCAGCAGGAATAGGTAAATCCGCTTTCACAGCTCACTTGGGCATTCTTAAAGAGGAGATGCTTCTTCTATATAAGATTAAAGTAACCTAGGCCCAACAACAGTGGCGTAAGGGGGGAAAGAAGGGTGTTTCTAGACTAGATGTATTCCTAAAAGATGGAGCATAAGTTAATAAGTTGATCTTTTCCTTGTAGTGGTCAAAGTGGCATATGATAGATAGTGGTCCAAGTCGTCACCGATGTAGCTCAAAGTAATGGAGTTCGGGATGCGCCTATTCTAACTTCAAGTCAAGAGTCAGGAGAAATAGTGAGTTTTGAAGCAAAGGTGGAATCAGGAGTCGGGAAAGTCAACAAGAGAATCAGTTGTGCGAAAGTCGGCTGCAAGTGAGAAATCAGCTGCAAGTTATAAGTCAGCTGCAAACAAGCAGTCAACAATAAATCCGCCTATTCTTCAGCCACAACACGGACCCTTACTTCCTCATAAGCCTATTCTTCAGCCACAACACCGACCCTTACTTCTTCATAAGCCTATTCTTCTACTTGTAGAAAGATAATCATGGAATTGAGTTTTGTATAGAATTTAGGGGCATATAAAATACGGATACAAGCTTATTGACCCGAACTCAACTAATGGAGATTAGACACTCCTTACTCCCAACACGATTAGGTACAACACCCCGGACTCCCAAAACTTTTATCACTCATTGAGGCACGCACCCTTACTTACTAGACTTAGCTCCTAAACTAACTGTTCACTTAAATCACTCATTGAAGCACCCCGCGTAGCCAATAAGCTCTCTTGGATACTTAGTGCTTGCTGCTGACTTGATAACTCCACTATACTTGAAGAAACAGACTTTAGAACCACGGATTATAGAGTTGACGTTGACTTTACTCGCACTGCTTCTATATACGAGAACTAAGGTAAAGCCAAGCATGCAAAGCAAAGGGATGGGAAAGCCAAGAAAGAACTGAGTTCGTAGACAAGGAAGGTGCTACAGGGGAACAAAAAGTGGAATTACCAACCATAGGAGCGGATCTCTATTCTTAACCTCGAACTGAAAAGAAAGCTATTCGTATTCCTTACTTACATCCAAGTGAAGGCAATTCAGCCACAAGTCCTTTCTTCGTCTTCATATAATATGGTTAGTTGTTGTTATTACCAAGTCCTGTTAACTTGTATATAAGGGGGTGTTCGTGCTGCAGTCCTTTATTCGGGAGTAGGAATATACTGGAGTAGGAACCCAATATCTGTACCTAAGTAGGAGGTAGCAAGAGAGAGAGAGACAACTAGTATGGCCAGTAGGAACCCTTGTTTGACGCATGAAAACTATGACGTTAATCGAATGGGCTGGATCGAGAGAATCAGAGGAATAAGAAGCAACTGTCCGACCCTCCTGAGTAGGAAATAGAGAACTTTCACTAAGGCCACAATAATATCATTTTCTTCAGCAGCATCCGCAGTGAGAGTTTCATCCTTTGTTCCATCTGTATGAGATAGCGCAAGGGAGGAGCGGGGATAGTGCTGTAGACCAGAGGAACTTATTCAACACTCCACTATTTTCCTTTGATGATGGACCAACAACATAATGCTCCAGCGTGGTATTTTCTAGTTTCAGGAGAGTCCGTCTCTTTGGGTGCGAGAAAGTCATCATATAAAGAATGTTGAATGCTCATCTAAACTGCTGAAGCGGTTCGAGTGTTGTATCTCGGTGTTGGAGAAAGTGAAGTATCAACGTTCAAGTCAGGTTTCAAGAATGGAAGCTTAGGAAAAATGAGAAAGAGTTATTGGTTTAGCAAATGAATAAGTAACGATAGCAACGGCTAATGAGCAAGCAACGGAACAAGAGCAAGCAACTCATGAATGTCAATTAGCTTAGACTAAGGGCGCGACCCATCTCCTCCCCTGGGTTACCTAGATCCATATAATGTTAGTTTCTTTGGAAGTTCCATTTCATGATTGGATTTTGCCGACCTGACCTATACCTACTTGAAGTTAATCAATTTCATCTCCTTCTTTTGCATATCAATTTGGAATTGAGCGCAGAGCAGTAAAATAAGAAAAGCCAGAAACTTAGGATCTTGGCGCGGAAGCTAAAGCAGAATGAGATAGAACTTATGCTGACACTGGGTCTTGGGCCTCCCTGATAACGCCACGAAGACAGGACTCTGGCCAAGCAACGTAGCCGCCACTACTACAAAGGCACAGAAAGTAATGAGTAGATAGTATAGTTACCGCTAGGAGCAGGATTAGAGGCGGAATTGGAATATCTATCTTATCGAGAACCGGGTTTGAGTTCAAGTATAAGTATTTAGGGAGCGCCCGGGTAAGTCCCATAAGTCATAGTGCAATTCCTTATTCCTAGGGTGGATTCTCTTCCTCTATATGTCATAGAGCATATTTGAAGTATAAGTAATAATAACCAATCAAACACTAATAGACAGGGGATATAAGCTAAGAGCAGGAGAAGAGTCAGAGTTAGCCCGCAGAGG